AACTGAGGCAGGGATGCCTGTCATGCTACAGCCTGCCACAGGAGGGTGCTCCAGGTGGGGCTACTCTATGACAAAGGGTTGCAAGACCACACCTGTAGTCTGTAAGTGCATTGGGACAGGAACCAAATTTTCCAACTTGGATGGCTAAAGTCAGTCACCTACATCAACAGAAACGCTCTGAAAAAAAGTGGCCTGATTTTCAAAGATGCTGACACCTGCAATTTCAAACTGAAGCCAGTGGAAGCTGGAAGCACTTGTGGCCTCTGAAAAACAGGTTGGAACAGTTCAGGGCAACTGCACCTATATTTCCCCTCCGTGGTCACTTGAGGGCACCCACCCTAGGTTTCTGGCTCCTCAGCTATCACCTCTCTTGGGCAGAGATCCACATCTCTCTCCCTCCTGATCGGGGGTTTCTGCAGGCTGCACAATTCCCTGTCTATACTGTGATATCCCCAGCAAGCCAGACTGCCTAGACAGGCCAACAGCTTCACTTTCCTTTCTCTCCAGAGGCTCTGAACAGCATAACTGCCAGCAGTTACAAATTACCACACAGCTCGTTCTACGCAAGCACATTTATTCTTAAGGTAAACGCATTACAGAAACTGCATATTAAAAACAATAAAAGAACCTACGCACATTCTGAAAAACAGAGATCCCCCCCAACTCCAGCCCCGGGCTCTGGTAGGTGTCAGTCCTTCAAGCCCCACAACTGGCTTTTCCCTGTGGTCAGGACCGGCTCTAGGCACCAGCAAAACAAGCTGGTGCTTGGGGCGGCACATTTTTAGGGGCGGCATGGCCGGTGCCAGAATGCTGCCCCTAAAAATGTGCCCCGGCCTCCCTAGCTCACCTCCGCTGCTGCCGCTCATGCGCCACGGCACGCGAAACAGCTGATTTGCGCGCTGCTGCTCCCCCTCCCTCCCAGGTTTGAGAGCCTGGGAGGGAGGGGGAGACTCCGAGTGGCTGCAGCGTGCGCGCCGCTTCTCCCCCTCCCTCCTAGGCTTGAGAGCCTGGGGGGAGGAGGCAGGGCTGGGGATTTGGGGAAGGGGCGGAGCTGAGGCGGGGCCGGGGGTGGGGTAAGAAAAAAACGGGGGGGGGGGCGGCCAAAATTGTTTCTGCTTGGGGCGGCAAAAATCCTAGAGCCGGCCCTGCCTGTGGTTACAAGTTCACAACTGTCTTGAATTCAGAACCAGAACAACCATCAATAGCTCAGTCTTTTCTTTATACAGCTTGGGCCTTTAAACTGACATCTTGACAATGGCCAACTCCCCAGGGCGTAGCTTCTAAAGGGGTAGGGTTTGCATAACCAGAGGCGGGGAATTTGCATTCACCACCCCACAGATATTCCCCAGGAAAACTACTTAGTATATTTTGTTCCAAAAATCCACTCTTGTCTGGCACATTGTTCACTATAGTCATTTGAACTCCCAGGTCTCACATCTCACAACCCCCTCCAGACGTTACATACAATTGCACCCCACAATAATACATAAACCATTCATTTCATACAATGGACCTCAAAGATACTTCAACTTAAATTCCGTAAGGTCTCCCTGGGATATTGCAGGAATTTGCCATGTTTGCCACACAGTTCACTTTTATTTAGGCGCGTAAGTGTAGCTTTCGGTGCTTGCCTTTAAGCACCGAAGTTAGAAAGCGTTGCCCTGTGTCATTTATCTGTCTGAGAAGCTCACTGCACAGCCTGGGCCGTAACAATAAACCATCTGCTCATCAAGGCTCCTAGCCTGGATTATGGAGCAATTTTAGGGAAATGATTGGCTTTGGGCAAAGTAACTAGACCTGCTAACACTAACAGCTGATCTCTTTATCTGTACATGGGATACAACATGGCACCACTGTGGCCACGGAAAAGGATTGATTTTTAGCCCTCCTTAGAGTGCAAAGCTTTCAATGGCTATAAAGACCTTTAATGAGGGGGATGTAACGAGAGGTCTGCGCTGGGGAACGATATGCTGGGCTGTTCAAAGTGAGAGGGAACTGTTCTAACCTGTATTTGTTGACTCAGTGGGTGCAGAAGGAGGTTTGGTTAGCACCTGATGGTTTATTGTACAAGTCAGTCAGGCAGCCTGCTCAGAGATGACAGTGGCGTTCTGGGCAGGATCTGTAGAGTCAAAAGTTGGCTTTCCCTTTTATTATCTCTCTATGAGGCTGTCTAAATTGTCAGGCGCCTACAGGAATGAGTCTCCACGGTATTCAAACTGACACTGGTGACTGCATCTCACTCTTGTCAGATGACAAGACATCACATACAAACAGGCTGCTCTATCTATAGGCAAGCCAGGCACCTAGAGTGGCAGATTTCCAGGCAGCTGCCTGGGGCAGCAGATTTGGCCCCGCTGTCTCTCTGTCATGGTTGCAATGTCACTTGTTCAGATTTGCCCCTGCTACACCATTCCCCTCCATCATGATGAAAGGGTGGCTGGACCAAATTTGAGTGGTGTGAGGGACAGCACACTGAAGTGTTGCCTAGGGTGGCAGATTGTGTTGAGCAGCCTCTGCATACAAAGCAGGGCCAAATCTGTAAAATGTAGAGTTTAGTAACATGGGAACACCTAGAGGCCCCATTGTGCTAGGTACAGTACAGAGACAGAGTAAGAGAACAGTTCCTCCCCAAAGAGCTTACAGTCTAAACAGCGAGACAGACAAAGAGTGAGAGAAAAGAAGCATAGATCATTTAATAGATGGGAAGCTGAGGCACAGAGATGATTTTGCCAAGGTCACATAAGGGGTCTGTGGCAAATTGGGGAATTGAACGCCCATCTCCTGAGGTGCAGTCCAATGCCTTCAACACAAGATCATAAGCCACAAAATTCAAATCCAGATCCAAGTTCTGAAAGCTCCAAAATTCAGGCATGCTAGGACCCAGGGTTTTGGTTTCATCCATTATAAAGATTGGAGCCGGATCTGGGTTTGTTTATCAAACATCCCCAAAGTTCGGGGATGTTTCGATACAGGATTTGGATTTGAGTCCATCGCTTGTAAAATCAGAACTCTGCCTTTTTCCCAAGGTCTGTCTGGTAGGTATGTGTGAGGCTGAAACATTGATTAATATTCAGCCCTGATGTATAATTCCACTGACATGAAAGGAGTTTTATCGTCCATTTGCTGCAGAGCTGAATTTGACCTGTTAACTCTTTTCTATTTGAGTCCGAACAGGCACATCGGTGCTCCTAGTCAGATTGTTCCACCACCATTCTGATGAGCTTCCACAGGGTACGCCATGGTTGCACACATGCTCGGGAGAGATCCAAATCCAGTTCAAAAGCTGCATGGTAGGACTGGATACCACAATGCAGCAGCAAACTGATACCCAGAATGTTTTCCAGTTCAAGGCTCTTTCATAGCAATGTATTCTTTTCCATGTGTTTAATACCAAGCCAGGACCATATGAGGCTTTCTTCACTTTTAGCCTCTATTCCTTTTATTCTGTTCGGGATTTTAATTGATATTGTTTATACTGATTTCTTAACCATTGTTCCCTGATGATATTTTACACAGACTGTAAAGTCATGTAGCACCGGCATAAAACAGGAGTAACTCCACTGACTTAAAGGCAGTTACTTCAGATTTATTCTATTGTAACTGAGAGCAAAATCCAGCCGCTTAGGTATATGAAAACCTTAGCCAAGCTAAAAGAGACTCTTTATTGGGTCAAAAGCAGACAGCATGTAGACAATCGTCATAGCTTCTAAGTGATCAGGGAAGAGACTAACTCCAGGAATGGAGAGCATATGAGCAGACAAAGTGTAAGCATGTTCTTAAATCCTTCTAATATTCATTGTTGCTGTAACTTAATGTGCAAAAATGGGGCAGCTTGCACTGACTGGTGGAGACAGAGAGAGTTATGTGCATTCATTAAAGGGGCAAAGATTTCATCTCTTCACACCACAATCTGCATGACTGAAAGCTGAGAAACAGCTACAGAATTCATGCAAAGTAGGAGAGTAGCAATGTGTGTCTGGTTTTCTGGCAGGAACAGGAGTGATGCTATAGCAGGGATTATTGGAGATTAAACTGGCAATACTGAGAAACTGAAGGAGTTAATGAAATGATATTTGCTTGAAGTTAAATAATTCACCCACTAGATGTCTCTATCTGCTGTACAGTGTTCCAGGCACAGTGTGGCCCCTGATGGTAAACAAAGACAGATCATGCTGGAACTGGAGCAGTGTGGATGCCTGTTCCTTAAGTGTCTGTAGTGTAGAATTATCTTGTTTAAGATGATCTGTGATTCCATACATCACAGCAGTTCGTAAATAAGAGATGAGCTTCTCAAGTGATCTGTAGGAAGACCTCTAGGAGACCAAAGGAAATTTGATTCCCTCTAGGCAAAGCCATCCCCATAAGTATCTAGGTAGGTGCCAAGTACTGAGCTCTGTTTGACTCCATTTAAAATTCTTATCTGCTCCAGAAGTCAGTGTCTGGGAGACCATGTAAAGATTCACAAGGGAAGTAGCACCATAACTAAACAATTACATGCGTGCAAGTGGCTGTGCATCTACCAGGGCATGAGCGCATCAGTGTGGGTATTGCCCCTTTGCCCAAGTGTGTGGGTGTGTGCATACGAGTGAATGAGTGGGAAAGTGTGTGCTGGTGTGTGCACACAAGGGGGTGTGCAATGCATACCAGTGGAGGTGTGTGGGGAGGTGTGCATGCAGGGGTGTGTGTTGTGTGTGCATGCGAGTGAATGAGTGTGAAAACGTATGGGTGTGTGCACACAAGGGGGTGTGCAATGCATACCAGTGGAGGTGTGTGGGGAGGTGTGCATGCAGGGGTGTGGGTTGTGTGTGCATGCGAGTGAATGAGTGGGAGAGTGTGTGCTCGTGTGAGTGTGTGCACGCAAGGGGGGGGGGTGATTACGAATGCAAGTGTGTGCGCGTGTGGCCACACGAGGGCGCCGCGCCAGGGCCGCGGGTGCAGCTCCCAGCGAGCGGGGCGGCACCGCGAGACTACAATTCCCAGAGCGCACCGGGGCGCCCGCCGGAAGAGCTGGGCCGCCGCCGGCGCGAGACTGTCCCGGGCTCTGCTGCCCGCGCGGCGGAGGAGGCGGATGAGGGGCAGCGGGCTGGGCCGGAGGCTCCTGGCCTCGGGGGGCGGCTCGCGGCCGGGCGCGCCCTGGGGCGCTGCGCTGCCGGCCCCAAGGAGAGGTGAGAGGCGCCTCTCGCCCCCCCCCCCCG